GACATTTGGAAACTGAACTGATGGTTTTTCAAAATTTAGAATTTTATTTATTATAATTGAATATTAATTAATTATATGTAAAAGACAAAAAAATTTTAATTTAATATTAATTGGTGGGAAATGGGGATGGGAGTAAAATCTGCCTCCGGTCAAATATCCCCACGGGCCCGGTTGACATCCCTAGATGCAAGTAGGGTTGGACATTTGGAAACTGAACTGATGGTTTTTCAAAAATTGAATTGAAAAAATGAATTTGATTCGATTTTAAAGATTTTTAAATTTTATTATTTTGATTTTGATATTAATCAAATAAATTTTTATTTGGTTTTGATTGAATTTTTTAAAAATTAAAAATTAAAAATAAGTTTTTAAAAATTAAAATTATGATAAATATAATAAAATATAATTTATTATTAAAAAATAATTAATTAATATTTATTTAATAAAAATTAAAATCAAATTAGTTTTATTGGTAACCAAATTGACTGATTTGTAAAAATTTTGATTTTCGATTTTAATTTTTAAAATAAAAAAAAAATTTAATTATTTTACCATCTATTTCAGTTTTAATTAAAACCGATTTTTACCTACCCTATATACAAGAGGTTTCTGACTTTTAAATCCACCGCTAATGCGGCTGCAGACTTTTTGGCCAAACTTGGTATTACCGCTTCTTTTAACTTTATGTTGTATGATAAGACACCTAATGAGCTCTTTTTTATTTTGTTCTATGACTGTATCGAAACTGTTGTTCCGAGGACTGTCGTAGCTGTTTAATATTTATATATATAATCCTCCCATTACTATATATATATAAAAAAAAAAACCCAAGTAGTCATTTCGGCCAGAAAAATGCAAACAAACCCAAGAAGTCATTTATCTTAGAAAAAATAAATCATTTCTAAACCCCGATAAGTGGAGGATATGTTTACTTTTTTTTTCTTTCTGACATTTGAGTAATTTAATATCATAATTTTATATTATTTAAGTTATTTTAGTTTGAATTTAATTTTTTTTATTTAAATTATATTTAATTATAAAATATTAATAATTAAATAATAATGATAGAACGAACGACTTTTATAAAATAAAAATAAAAGATGATTTACATGGTAAGTCCAAATTAATTATTTAATTTGATTTACGTAACTAGTGAATTATGTGTCAATCTATATAACAAGCTACACAGATCATCCTTTAAAATTATCTTTCAAAAATTGTCTCTGAATCATTGTCTATAATTAAATTAAGAAATTTTCTGTTATATTATGAATATTTCTTACTTTAATAATTTTTTCAGACACAACAGGTAGTAGTTAAGTGTTAATTAATCCAAAACTTTAAATTTATATATTTTTACAAAATTATTTTTAAAATACTTATATATCAAATCAAGTGGCTCTCTAAATATAGCAAAGACTCATTTCTAAATGGTAAAATCATGAGGCCATGTAATTAGCATAGTAATTTTCCTGAAAATGTGATGCACCTCACATTATAGCAGAAAGCTCCTCCGCTTGCGTATTAGATTGGTCTTCGTGTTCTTTGTTTATTTTTCATCATATATATCTTTTGTCTGGCAATCAAAGAAGCTGTCTGACAACTTAAGTGAATCCCCCCTCCCAAGCAATTTGCTTGGCCTTCCATATAGCTCTTCTCTATTTCTTTTAATTTTTACTTTATTTTATATAGTGAATTTTTTTAAAGTAAATTATACTTTATATTAATGTTAAAAAATATAAAAATATAACGTTTTAATATTTTAAATATTAAATTTATTTATCATA